AAGCCCCCAGCCAGCCCTGCCCAGGAGCACCGTACCCGCGTCCGCTCTGTCAGCAGCGCTGCCGCCCGCGAGCTGCGCCCCAGCAGGTCCTCAGCCTCGTTCTTCTCCTCCTCTTCCTCCTCCTCGTCTTCGTTCTGCAAGAGATGGACAGCTCGGTCAGCCCACGGCTCCCAGCCTTCCCCCAGGATGCCACGTCCACCCCCAGTCCTAGGCAAGGAGCTCCGCTGGGCGCGTTCGCTGCCCCATAATGGTTCCTTCCATCTCTGGACCCTACACATCTATGGCATTTCGCCACTGGGCTCCCGGGTCCCCCCGGCACCTCCTGGCATCCCAGCCCTGCCGGAATAGCGAGTCTGCCCTTCCCCTGCCTCACCTTGAGGAAAATGCCAACGTTTTTCACCTTCTTCTTCACCGAAGTGAGGATGGTGGCTGGGCCGTCCTTGGAAACAGAGAGTCAGGGATGGGAGCAGGGGGCAGCCCATAAACGCACACGGGGACAGACACTGAAAATACCTGCCCCATGTGCCTCCCACCCCCAGCGCGGTGAGCGAGTCTGCCCTTCCCCTGCCTCACCTTGAGGAAAATGCCAACGTTTTTCACCTTCTTCTTCACCGAAGTGAGGATGGTGGCTGGGCCGTCCTTGGAAACAGAGAGTCAGGGATGGGAGCAGGGGGCAGCCCATAAACGCACACGGGGACAGACACTGAAAATACCTGCCCCATGTGCCTCCCACCCCCAGCGCGGTGTGCAACAGCCCACTGGCCCTGCCTCATCTACAAGCACGGTGTCCCCAATGAACAACGCATACGTCCGCTCCTCTGGTTTCTTCCCCTCCTTGTTGGTGAGGTCTGAGAAGCCCACGTTGATGCTGAAGACCATCCCTGCCAGATGAGAAAGGGGGTGACATGGCGCAGGAGACCCTGGCCGGGGTGATGGGGTGCCAGGGCCCACGGGACGTGCAGGGAGGTCAGCAGCACAGTGTGCATGGAACTGCACAGGGCAGGGCAGGGCAGCCCCTGCCTCTCCCCCAGACACACACACACACACACACCATCTCTTCAGAGTGGAAGAAAGGAAGACAACAGAGCAAGAGAGCGTTCTCTGTCTTAAAAAGCTTGGCCTCCCTCAGAAACATACCCAGCATCAGTCAGCACATACGCTGTCACTGTCACACACTGGTGACAAGTGACTGTGTATGTGTGTGTGGTACAGCGATAGGATGTATGGATGCTAGATAGCATGTTAAAGACTAACACATTTTTTGGCATAAGCTTTCCTGGGCTGGAGCCCACTTGGTCAGATGCATGAAGAATCCTCAGCTTGGCAGGGATATTTGCACATGCAAAGATGGGAGTGTTGTATTTTCATGCGGAGGAGGAGTGCTAACAAGCTCAATTCAATCAGGATGGATGTGGCCTTCTCCCAAGAGCCCCTAAGAAGGTGAGACTATCAGAAGAGGGGAATGTTACTCTTTGTAGTTTTTTAGATAGGCTACGTCTACACTGGCATGATTTTCCGCAAATGCTTTTAACGGAAAAGTTTTCCGTTAAAAGCATTTTCGGAAAAGAGCATCTAGATTGGCACGGATGCTTTTCCGCAAAAGCACTTTTAGCGGAAAAGCATCCGTGCCAATCTAGACGTGCTTTTGCGCAA